GTGTTTAAGAAGCTGAGCGAGAAGTTAGGAATCAAGAAGACAAGAACAACTCTACCGCATCAGTAATGAACCCAGTGGCAAACCAAGAGTCGTTCATTTCAACAGACTAGCACCATTCGAGGGAACACAAGATCAACACATTCATTGGGACATACAGTGGTTCATCAAAAGCAAGGTTTGGCGTCACCAAGGAAGAGCACCGCGACCTTTTTGTCACTCCTGTAGAATACCCACTAGCTCACTGCGTCGCCGAGGATCTTCAGATGTCTCAAGGAATAGCCAACAAGTTCATGAGAAAATTCGGGAAGTTAGAGCAGCTTCATCAACAGGGTCCCTCCGTTGGTCGAGCACTGAAGGAAAAAGGTCTCTGTTTTATCTTATAACGAAAGGAAGATCTTCTGACAAACCCACTTACAAGGACCTCTGGGAGACACTAGTCGACTTGCGAAGCGCCATACTCGAGAAGGAAATACAGAAGATTGCTGTTCAAAAGCTGGCGTGTGGTCTGGATGGCTTGAATTGGAGAGATGTAAGGAACATGCTGGAGGTTGTATTTAGATTCACCGGAGTTAAAATTCTGGTATGCTGCTGGAACTCTGAAACTCCAAGAGCGAAGACAGTGCCATGCTATTTCTACCATACTTCACTTTGTAGAAATGAAACCAGTTGTCCCTATCTTCATAACGATCAGAGTGCATTCCAGGAGGAATGCGTTTTAAGAAGGGGCCAGTGTAATGATATTTCCATCAGAGGGGCTCTAGAAACATCATCAGGAAGACAGGAGTACAACGATCATCCTGTAACACGCATCCCAGATTGTTCTCGAACATCCCAATGATTCCTACATGCACCAGCATATTTCCGAACACTCAATATATGCCGCAGTGACAAATAACGTGACAGAAGATTCTGGAATGTTCTGGAAACAATCGATGGAACAATTAGAGAGAGAGGTATTGTTCTAAGAAGCTTCTAGAACAAAAAGAAGGGTAGAAAGATCATTCGAGAACGTTCGAGAAGCGAAGCCTACCAAGGGATCTCATATATAAGGACGGCCGAACAACTGCAGTCAGTCAAGCAGCTAGTGTCAGAGAGACAGTCATATATCGCGTGATATAAATCGTTTTACATAAATAGTAGTTCGATATAAATTAGTGTTTCTCTAGTTCAAATAAATCAGTTCGAAAATAAATAGTGTTGTGTTCGCTTCTGCACCCGAATAACGTAACAATATTTTCGCATAATTATCACTTCTGGGGTGCCGAACTCCCCACGATGCCAGTTAAGGGTTAAAAGTGATTCTGAAAAAAATTAAGTAGGCGTAAAAATTTGTTATCTCAGGGATTCAAAGATGTTGAAATGTACAGGGTGTTCCATTTGAAAATTCAAAACCGAAGCCATTTCCGGTGAAACCGGAAGTGACCGGGAAGTGAATAACATGCGAAAATTTTCCTCTGTACATCTCATACACCCATTTTAAATTTAATTTTGATAAATCGAATAATCTAGAAGTTCTGGCTTGTCAAATGGATTCGTTGACACCCGGTATGTTGTTGCAAACTGAGTATTATTGAGGGACTTCGCTCCAAGTTGCCAACCTAAAAACCTCTACCAATGTAGAAGCAACATTAAGGAAGTTTTATTACTCAAATAGCTTCATTTCGATGAAATCTGATTGTAGGAGTCTACTCAGCTCACGAATAGAAGTTATTCAGAAGAAAAATTAATTTTTGTGAACTCCAGTTCTGATTAGTTGAAAATTATGTTGATGCATCTGCTTTCATTCTGAAATTTGTCATATCGTCGTCAATTTTATTACTTATCACATTTTTGTTACGTATTTAAAATTACTAACACTATTATTTGTCTACTCAGCTCACGAATAGAAGTTATTCAGAAGAAAAATTAATTTTTGTGAACTCCAGTTCTGATTAGTTGAAAATTATGTTGATGCATCTGCTTTCATTTTGAAATTTGTCATATCGTCGTCAATTTCATTACTTGTCACATTTTTGTTACGTATTTAAAATTACTAACACTATTATTTATCATTATTAGGTAAAGAAGTTTGATCGTTGCAGTAGGAAGTAGGAATATATTGGAGTGCTAAGAATCGACACGGACATGACTTAGTAAGAGTAAAATAATGAAGTTTCAACTTTCTGAAATGAAAAATAACCCAAGAAAGTGTCTTTGAGTGGATGAAACCATAACTGTTAGGTAACGAAGAAATCACAGTCGATATCATAAATAAAAATACTAACATACCTATGCAATAATAAGCGTTATCTTAGTAAAAAAATAACAATAGGGAAAAGAAATCGTTCAATAAATACTTTCAAAGCTTACATGACTCACGTTTGATAAAAACTGGTCGAAGTTTCCAATAATAGAGATACATATTATCACAAAATAAATGTCGTAATACAACAATATCACAATAAGATTCCTTTAATCAAATAGTTAGACACAGATAGTTTATTGGTAGCAGAAGTCAACAGACTATTATCACAATATTAAATATAAAATGAATTTTATTATAGCATGATATACCTATTATGGGTAGTGAGGAAATATAAATGACCAACAATAAATATAAAGACCTAATAACAATGTTATGTTGATTACCATAACGACGTGTCGAGAGTAGCACCAGACCAGATAACTTGGAACCCTCACATCCACTTTATAGCATTGCACGTTCCTCATTAGATTTTCTTGATCTTTATTCTGTTCGAACGTGATTCGAACATTACATATGTCATTTTTTACTCGTGATACTACTGACACTATTGAAAGTATTGACATTTCAGTATTGACGTATCGCAGATGCACCAACATGATTTTCAACCATTCATAATATCACTTCTACAGAGGTAGAGGTTTTCAGGTTGGCAACTTGGAGTCCCCCATTGAGGTATATTACTAGTTTTATTAGATATAGTGAAGTGTATAAGTGAATCCAGTAATTTTAAATTGACAAATTGGATTATTTGCGCAGCCCAAATCACAATCAATTTGTCTATTAACGAACAATTGTGGTATCGGCAACCAAACATACACCGCATCGATTCACTGTTAATAATAATACTTTTTATTTGCAGAATGATGCATGATATACATTATAGAATAATATTAATATTAACGAATGATTATTGGATCATACCGCATAATAGAGATGACAGGCAGTAAAACTGATGTGAGTGTCATCCCTAGTGTCTGGCAAACAAAAAATCATCAAAATCAAAATCGACACATAAATAATGAGTCATGTGGCATTTTCTATCTGATAGCATCGGATAGTAGATCATTGTTAACTCTACTGAACTTCGAGATTGATTAAGTTTTTAGATTTGCAGGATCCTGGTTGTATAGTCTATAAATATTATGAGTGAAGGAGCCCCTAAAAACATTAGTTCGATTAAATGGAAGCGAAGTTATTCCCTTGAAGGAAGTGTGAACATCACTATGGAATGTTGTTTTTTCATAAGGATGAGGAGGGGTTTTGTGAAGAATAACTTTGTGAAATTAGGTCACTGGATGCAATTCTCTCCTAGCAGACATAAAGAGCCATTTCGTATCTTTCAGTTTATGTAAGATACTTTCAAATTTTCTGATACCATATATATACCCAAGACATGATTTTTGTACCCGTTGTGTTATCCAGACAAGGGCCATAAATAGTGTCACAATAGTTGAAATGAAAGAACTAAGGACTGAGCAAAATCTTTGTAGATTTTCATAAAACGATAGCGATATAACATTTTCAAGTTGGCATACGCCGGTTTCACGCATTTGCTAACCTAAATTTCTAGCAACGCGACGCGAGATATATTATTATCCACAATCTCAATGTCCTGTTCGATTTGTGCTTTATATTTCCCAAAAAAAATTCTTGTTTTTGATGGGTTTACCTGAAATCGAAAATATGGATTTCATCGAAGGTTTTACATTAACGGGTTGGCTTTTTAACGTTTCTGAACCGATTTCAATCCCTGTTAGTTAAATTACTATTAATTATAATGGAATTTTGTTCTGCTCCTACTATAATGTATAATGGAATTTTGTTCTGCTCCTACTATAATGAAACAATATATAGTTCATGGAACATTGAATTACTGTTGACGGCAAAGTAATCTTTCATGTCGGTTCCATTTTTTCAAATCGAAACTGGACCGATTACTGTTTGTATATACAGGACGATTCATTAAGAATGGGCAATATCTGAACTAAACATGTTCAAGGAAAGAATATTATTTTAAATTTCTTCATAATTTCGGTCTTGCATATACTTCAGAATTCTGTTTGTTGGCGTTGTTAATGATTGTTATAATTGATTAGTCTTTTTTTTCACAGTCACTTCGCTAACTATAATTTAAAATAATAAAAATGAAGTTGAACACAAATCTTTTCAAGATCTAACAACGCTAAAACCATATGAGTTAGACAATTTGAAATATAGTATATATTTTTATGTAAAATTGTCTAGATTTTTGACTTATTTTAACTATCATTCAAAGGACAAAAAAGAGCTATGCTATGAGCAATCACAAAATAAGTTACATTCCAGAAAACCTGAGACTACAAAAGTTGATGTCCATGCTGCTGGAACTTGAAATCTTCCTCTTGAATACCCTCTATCTCCTAAATCACCACCATTTTCATAAGGCATGTTGGTCTAAATCTCTTTATATTTTGGTGTTTACTATTTGTAGTTCAGAGATTGTCCATTCTCAATGAATTACCATGTATATTTTTTCTCGATTTGTATGCGTTTTGGCACTGATGGGTGTCAGCTAAAACCTTGGTATCAATTAATCCTTACCATCATCTGTATTTTACATTTGAGATTAACAAACTGTGTTGGTCCATTATTTGAGCATAAAAGAATATATCTTTAACTTTGCTTTCACTCATCAATCATCGATTGGATGGTTTTTCTGAGAACAAAATTATTGATTTTTACAATATAGTATAACAATTATATTTAACAATTTTAGGTCTGTTGCAAAGATTTGTGGTATTTGGAAGTTGAAAGGCCACCTGCTCCCAGTCGAGTATCCCTTGTGAAAGCTGCAACAACTACGTTGGAGGTCAACTGGACCGGCTCACCCTCAGCTCAAACTTACATTCTGCAGGTAAGTCAAGTTCTGTAACCCTTGACAGCAACCTGAAAAGTAAAGTCCTGAGCATACAAGTCACAAATCAATTCATTAATTACTGATCCCTTCATAAACTTTGATGAAAATTGATGTTTTATGTGCAATCTTGACTGGCAATTAGTGGCGGTTCATGATTTTTTCAACAGGGGAGGCTAACTGAAGAATGTTTCCCATAATTTCACGATCTTCCTTCCCTGTATCGACTTTCAATTTCACGTATGCGAATAGTATCAATAACATTAATAACATTTTGTTTACCCGTTTATTTGAACTTACCAAATGATGTTATATGTTCCCGTGATTTTGCATGGCTATAAAGTCCACGGATCAAGTGGCGCTCATTATTCTGATTTCTTAAATGAATATGAGCAGTGCCAACAAAATAACTTGTTTCTTACCTCAAATTCCGTTAACCATACATACCAATTTTTTATAGTGTGCGTTATTGAATGAACGACATTTTTACATATGGTAATGGATGTTTCTTTTTCACTAATGATTTGTCGTCGTAAGTCAGCGCACTGAAAGAGTTTATTGTATTCCACTAAATCAGAATCATTTAAAGCTCTCATTTTCAAGAAAATACCTATACCAAACCAACCATAATGAAAATTAGCCTGAAAAAGTGAAAACGTGGCTGAAATCGTAAAGTAACCTGGTACAGAAAACCACGAAATAAATATTCAAATAGACTGTTCCCATTCTTCTTTTGTTTATGATTGGAGCTGGTTCTCGTGAAGTTCATTGGACACGTGAAGGTAATGTTGCCAAAACTATTGAATGGGTTTTTCCAGTAATTTCTAGAAAAAGTAGATCTTGGAATATATGACTCTGGAATACCTCGAAATATTTTTTTAAATTTTTTCCCATCAATTCATCCTGTAAAAAAATATTGAAAACGCCAAATTTAACGAGCGAAGTCAACAAACGATATGACTTGTCCGTGAAACGTGTGACGTCAGTGTGCGAGTAATTTGAATTGATTATACCGTCACCTTTCCTTGGGTGCCAATAAAATGCACAATGGACTTGACACTGTTGCCAATTTGGATAGGAAGCTATGATTAGTCGGATATTCATTTCTCGATTTTTTCATTTCAGCAAATGATACAGATGCTGTTAGATGACTCAACTAAAACTACTTACCTGAAAATTCGTGGTACTGAAAAATTGCATTGCTTAATTAGTTAGATGGTTGATTTCTGTTGGTGGATTATTTAAAATCGTAAGTGAAATTTCATTTAGTATTGAAATACAGTGCAGATATTCATGACATTCAGTTTCAAATCCCTTCCAGTAATTTCAAGTTCAGGTACTCATCTATAGTTTTACTTACCTATACCAACCTACCATAGGAAAAAAATTGAATCAATACTAAATTGTTTACTTGGTTCTATTTCTATTGATTTTAATACAAGCATCACTGCCTTCTTGTCAATAATATTGAGAAATGAGAACAGTAAAGTTATGCGTGGAATTAGGTATTTTTCGAGTATTTTTAACTTGGCAACATTGTGTTTGCGCCAGTTGCTTTATCGCTTTCTCTTTTGTAGACATAGTTGCCAGATTAGCAATTACATTTTCTGGAAATGAGCACTGTTTAGTTTGTTGATTATAACAATTATTCAAAGCAATATCACCATCATAACAAAAACCAAACTATATACAAAAAGCATCTTACTGTTAGATGCCTGCATCACATATTGTCCTAGCTTATCTGGAATACTTAGGGGTTCCGAGTAAATTGAATGTGATCAGCACTTAATAAACCAATCAACTAATCACATACTACATAGTAATTTAGAATCATGACATTCGTTGCACTATCTTGCACATAGGATCAATTCAATGATTTTATAGAAACCTGTCAACAGCGGCGTGCTTCCCAGCCGCCACAACTCCAACCAATCAAATTTCAAGAAGACACTGACATCACAACTCAGTAGCGTTTGAATCCATAGGTATTGAAATTGCATTTTCAATATCAAATAATTCATTTGTTGTTCGGTATTTTCGATAAATATGTGGTAGAATTAACGGGATAACCAACATGAGGATGAGATATTAGCTATTTCTGTATATATCCTATTCAAGTGTATGGAACAATTTGATGCATGAAGATTCTTGAGGAAGCTCAGCCTCCGCCTCAATTGCCTCCACTGAGGAGTCGTCATTGCTCGATTTTTTTTATCTCTTGGAGCGCATTAAAATAAATTCCTATCATGTTCCTGGAACATTGTGCATACCTAGGGGAGATAGGGAGAGGACGTAGGTGTTGGATTTTCTTCGACATTTTTCAAGGTTTACGACGAAGGGATATACTCACTGGGCCTGTCGAGTTCGTCTGACTGGTAATTGCTAGTGATGGGATTATAGCAGAGATTTCTGAGGAACATTTCCCGTGGAATTATCTATAGAAAAGTGAAAGATCGCTGACTTCTACGGTGTTCCAATGAGGTCGAAGAGTTGGCTCTTCTCTGGATGGAATCTAGGACATCAGCGTATGTTTGGGTGCTGAACCCCATATATGAGGACAGTATTCTAAAACTGGCCGTATCTGTGCTTTGTAGATTATGAGCAGCTGTTAAGGTGTAAAGTAGATTTTCGCACGGGACAAGAATCCAAGTTTTTGTGAAGCAACTTCTGATATGGATAGGACATAATTTTCTCATGAGAGAGTATTGCTGATGGTAATATCGATCATAGATATAGTGGTCTTGGTGGGAATGGTGGTACCAGAAAAAATACAGGCTTGAGTTCTGGTGGCGTTGAATCCAGCTAGGTTGTTGGTTATATCCGCAAGATCTTCATTGACAGCGTTGGTCTGCCTTCGTCGTAAGTTCTTAGTTTCCTGGAAAGGATGGAAATTCTAGAAGAGAACTCAGTAGGGAGAGTACTATCGTCTGCAAAGCTGTAGATAGGGCAAGTAGTTGCTCCCAATAGATCGTTGATATGAACTAGGAACAATGTTGGTGCCAAGATTGATCCTTGTGGAACGCCGGAATTGATGGCAATGGTATCAGATGATACACCGTCCACCACCAGATGGAGCGATCCGCCTGAAAGAAAACTGGATAAATGATGGTGGTAAGCAACATGATGGTTTTGTCGAGTTTTCTGATGATAATGGAATAGGACACACAATCAGAAGCTTTGGTCAGGTCACACAGAGCAGCTGCAGTGTGACCCTTTTTGAAATCCTCAATGATGATATTATCAACAACCTTCTTCAAGGCATGCACTATTGGTATCAACTTCCTAAATCCGAATTGGTTTTGGTTTAACAAGTTGTTCCTATAGGAATAATTATATAAGCGATTTTTCAAAAGAATCTCGAATATTTTTCCAAAAATAGGAACTATTGAGATAGGGCGGAAGTTTTCAATATTTTTGTCATCACCTTTTTTGTATATGGGAAGGACTCTCGATATTTTGAATGCATCAGGAAATCTATATTTCCCAATGCAGAAATTAAAATGTATAGTTATCCCTTACACCCCGAGAGTAAGTGGAAAAGTATTGCTGAAATATTTCTAGCAGGCGTGACTCAGAGTGAACTCAGAAACTTCATGATTTTTGTCGATTTTTTTCATGATGTAATATTATTTTCTGGACCCTCACAATCGTTCTGCGAGTTTTACAGACGGGATTTGTTTCATATGTTCATAGCCAATATTCTATCCTCCAATACAGAGTTATTACCAATAATCGTTTTTAGTGTGAAAAATGCAAAGCAATGTTTTCCTTCATTCTCACATTATGTTTTGGCCTAATATTAGTTCAAAGAAGTTCAAAAGTGCCTTAGTATGTCCAGACACCTCATTTACATAGGTGTCTGTGAACGTGTTAATAGTCTTCGCACACTTAAGTTCCTCCTACACCTTTTGAAGTTGAAAAAAATGTGATGCATTGCTTGCTAGTTGTTTAAAGATAGTTTCTGAAATCAAACTACACACCTGTTTCTACTATCCAATGAACAAGAATTTTGAGTTTTTTGTAATCATTCAGAGGAGACAACAACCCGCCAACCATGTCAATTTCGCTATTGAATGCTGCGGTTTCAATTTGAACATGGCAGTAATTATTCTTGTTCTAAAATTGTTCTTATCGATCATTCGGTTGCTCCCTTACGAGCAACCCTCAGAAGTCTTCAAGAGACTTGTGCGAGCAAGGAATGACGGGGGCCTTACCTTTTAACGTGTGATCCCAAACACTTTTCTTAGGCCATCAGAAGAAATTCTGCGGTCGTGGTGGGAATCGAAGTCACTACCAGTAATCCATCGTGGATAGAACATTAACGCTTTAACCACGAGGCAACGCTGGCTACCCAATGAAAATTCCTAGCAATTGATATTCAAAATCTAAACATCTTCGGAACCACTTTTTCACGTCATCAAACATCATAATCGTCTAGATTCGGGTTAAAGTTTGGTATTATCACCGAAGTTGACAATGTATTTTTACTACTTTGTTCTTAAAGAGATTTGTCGGCACTCGCGAACAATTTAACAATTCTCTCATTGTCTGGCTTCGTTTTTAATCACGATAACACACATTGTGGTACTTCTAGTTGTTCTATCCCATTTCTGATGTAAGAAAACACGAATTTTCCTTTGCAAACTAATTTATTATAAAAAAATCGTATATTGAACAACGGCTCCTGGGATCAGTGGCAAGTTCGTCACCAAAACTCGTTCGTCTATAGAACGGCGAAGCTCTGGAATTCTTTGCCAAGGGAAGTATTCCCAAGGACTCATAACCTCCAAAAGTTAAGAAAAATTCCCTTATATCCTTCCTAGGTATCCGCGATGTTTCACCAACCTTATTGGAATTTCCTTTCGTGCGTTCCAAGAGATGAAAAATGTCCCAAGAGCAAGTGTTTTGCCCTTTCATTCTCATTGTTCACGAAAGTCTCATACAGTCATAATTTTTAATTATCTAAACATTTATATCCAACATGGTACACAGAGATCCAC